CAAATTATTCCCACCAGCCATGCATGAAAACTTGTATCTTCCAACCTTGACAACACTTTAGTTTTGGCCAAACCAATGCAAATTACTGCATGAATTTTTTTCAAAATTTAGTTCCCTGGAAAATAAGTGCGACTGAACATATTTTCTTCATAGCCATTGGTCAGTTGCATTTCTTACCTTTAATTTCCTTTCTAAAATTTAAATGAAAGAATACAATGATTGACATATATTCTACCACTATTTTTTATCTTTTTTGTTTGTATGATACTATGGACGCAAGTCAGGGCCTCCTACTGAGCCACATCCATGGTCCTATTAATATTTTTTTTTTATTTTGAACTAACATCTCTGTCATTATGTTACCCAAATTGGGCTCTAGTTTGTGGTAATCCCATCACAGGATCCCAGAAGGTTGGAATTATAGGCATGAACTGTTAAACACAGTTTTTTCAAATCTGTCTGTTAGCTGTATTTTGTGAACATATTTCTTGTCAAGTTGAACAATTTATGTCTCAAATATCTAATTTGTGTTACATGTGGTTTTTCCTACTTTATGAGTTTTTAACCTTAATAAAGTTACTTTTATAATATAAAATCATGTTTTTTACAATATAAAATTTTATAATTATATGATTTCAATGTATCTTTTTCCAGATAGCATTCTCAGATCTTTTCCAAAGTCATACACATATTCCATTTCTTTTTTTTTAAAATATAATTAGATGCTAATCCATCTGGAATTAATGTTTTTACCGGAGTGGAAGAAAAGTTTTGACCTTTTGTTTTCCATATGAAAAATCTATTGCCCTGGCATCATTTAGTGAATGCCTCCTTTCTCCACTGATAAGAAATTCTACTTTACTTACATATGAAAGTCTGACAGATGTACTTGTATTCTTGATTTTCTAGCTTGTCCCATCTCATTCTTAAAATTTCTACCATGTGTCGACATCAGGCAGGTACTCTTAGTAGGAGCAATTAATCATGAACTTTTTTTACTTGACAGTGTTTACTGATTGTCTATCACATGCCAGCGACACTATTGTCAGGCTTGTTAATGAGCAAAGACCCAGGCTGTTGCAGTGTGGATAGATGGAGTGAGACTGATTGTAGTTACAGAAATACAAATAAGTGCATACAGAAGGGCATGTTATATTTGAGTAGGGTAATTTCTCCATTCCTTCTATCAGTTTTACTAAAATGGAAAAAAAAAAAAAAGGTGTGTCATTGGTGTATCGGAGGGAAAAGTAGTCTAGATTGAACTCTGAGAGGACTTTAAATTATTAGTGAGACTGACTACATGGCTGTAGATATAAAGGGAAATCAAAAGAAAATATTTAAGCAGTAGAGAGCACAGTCCATCCGTGGTTTTAGTGCTTTAATGGTTCTGGAAACCTAGAGTAGAAGACTGCTCTAGACAAAATCTTCACTGACTATTCTTTCCACTCCTCTCCTCCCCGATCAGTCCAGTCGCTTGTATTATAGACTTTTTCCTCCAGGAATACATTGGTATTTAGAACACCCCCAAATGCTATTCTCCTATATCTCTTAACCCTCATGGAAAAAAATGGAATAGCTTCTGAAACATATAATGAATCTACTCATCAATAGTACATTATTAAAGGTGATCTTGAATATACCTATCTGGTGAAACACACATTAACAGAGTTTGCTAAAGAGGATTAAGAAACAAAAATCCATTCTCTAAATTATGTAAAAACTTCAGTTTCTGTGGTGGCATGAGAGAAGAGATATTTATGTGTCAGTGAAAGCTTTAGCTTCTGTGGTAGACTTTCAGTGAGTCTTCCCACTGAGATTTCATTCATTCGTGTAATCTCTTTTTCTTAAGTGCGGGATTGGATTTAATGATTTGTGATCAATGCACAGTATATGCCAAAGACAATGAGATAGCATTTCCAAGATTAGACTACAAAATACTTACTTGATTTCTCTGGTTCCTTCTGTCTCCCAATTAAAGCAAGCCAACTGCCATATTGTAAATTGTTCTACAGAGCAGCCCACAGGAAAATGAACTCAAGGAGAACTCAGTCCAACAGCCAGCGAGGAAGTGAATCCCTGTCCATGACCATCTCAGGGAATTTGTCCCTAATGGAGCTATAAGTTAGCTTCAGTCTAGGTTGACTGCAGCCTTATGAAAAGCATTAAAACAAGATAAGGCCAAGCAATACTCAGATTCCTAACTCACTGAAATCTTACAGATATTAAAAAATTTATTTGGAGCTACTAAGTTTTGATAGTTTGTTATCCGGCACATACAGCATAATACATGCAACCTCATAGCATAACATTCTGTGGTAATTATTGAATTTTGAGATAGGAGGAGACTTTAAAATCAAACAAATCCATTCCCCATCAAACTAGTCCATTGACTTTATGGCCAAGTTACACTTGAATAACTTCCATCGTGTATTTTCACAGTTAATTTTCAGATGGGTTTAGAAATGTCCTTAATAACGTTCACTCACATTAGCGATGACTTTTCATGTCTGTGATCAACTTTGATTAGTGTTTATTTCTCAGCTGGGATAGGAAATATACTATTGGTTAAAACTGCTGAGAAATAATTTTTTTTTTATGTTTGAAAGTCTCTCTTCCTGATCTAATGACCCTTTTCATAGTCTAGTTTCCTAAGTAAAACATATCATCTCATAAAACTGAAATGGAAAATGTTAACATAATTATGCTCTGAGACTATGATAATGAATGAAAAATGAATTGTCATTGCTTTTGTAATAAATAGCCGCAAGAAATGTTTAAATGATAAAACACATATGATAAATTGCATAGACAAGTCAGTGATCTGACTTTTTTAGGAAGCAAACCTTCACAATGATAATCCAGCTCATAAAATTACTTTATGAACTGCTCTTTGTTAATAGCAAGCATGGGACAGCTGCAGTGCATCTTGGAATCCCACTGTATTTCCCAACTGCATTACTATCAAACTGAAGTCATCCACTCAAAATGAGATGAAGCAATCCATTCAATAGCAGCTGTGAAAGACTGGTCAGCTTAAACAGACTCTAATGATAATTTAACTGGCAAGAACCATTGAATAATTAGTGCATTCCTGGATGAATTATACTAGCTGGAGCTATTGATAGCTCACTCTGATCCCCTGAGGCTCATCCCTACATTATGAAATCTGCTTATTGCAAACACCTGCTGTTCTCAGCTTTAATTCTGATCCATACACAGGGAATACCAGCATTGCTGGAAGGAAGATAATAATTTAGATGCAAAATTCATTCAATGTTGGAAAAGAAATTATAAGATAAAGACACCATCTTCTGTGCAGTTCTGTTAGTAAAACTCTAATGCATGCTCTACATTCTTTTCCGGAGCCTGTGCACCATTTAAACAGCAGTGCCCACAGTGCTAACTACTGCAAAATATAACCTTTCTTACTTAACCTCTCTTACTCTGTCCCCCTACTTCACTATCATTGTTTTCCTGTAATTGTTTCTGTTCCTGAGATCACCTACATGAATTCATAGGTTCTCCTGCGAGGAGCATATTTGGCAGTTACACATTTAAATCAGTCATTCTTTTTCTTTTACTCCATTAATTTCCAGTTTCATTTTTTTACTATTTTCTTCCTCTTCACTTTGAGTCCCATCTTTTTTTGTTTGTTTCTAGTTTCTTAACATGGAAGTTAAAGTGTTTGACCAGAGTAAGAGCTATATTGTTTTGTAAAATAAGATTTGAGTCTGAAAGAGTTACAATGAATTAAGGCATTCATGGACCCCAAAAATAATTTTGAAAAGATTTCACTTTCATTCAGTTTAAAGTGTTGTCTAATTTAAATTTTGATTTCTTCTTCAATTAATGAATTATTGTTTAATTATCAAATAACTGTGAAATTTTCAGGCATTTTATACTAATGAATTCTATTTGCACTGTTGTTGACAGAAAACGCATTTCGAATGATATAAATACATTTAAATTAAATGAGACTTGTTTTATGTCCTAGAATATTTTATAGCTGGATATACATTTATGTGTATTTGACAAGCACGTGTATACATTTTTTGCTGGGCAGGCAGTTCTGCAAATATTAATCAGACCAAGTTGCATCATCATTTTATTCAAATAAATATTCTTCTAACATATTGTCTCTTTTTCTCTCTCATTTTCTGAGAGTGGTATAATGAAATTTCTGACTATCATTGAGGGAATTTTCTGAATTTCTATCAGTTTTCATTCTGGCATGTTTATACATTATTATTTGATGCATACATAATTAGGATTATGGCCACATGACATATTGACTCATAACATTATAAAATGTTCTTCTTTATACCTATAATTTATTTACCGTAATATCTTCTTTGAAGTTAATATGGCTGTTTCAGGTTTTTTATTTAGTATAAGCACGATGCAATTTTATCATCCTTTTTATTGTAAATTATTTATATCTTAATAAATTGACAACTTGTTTCTTTACAGCACATGGTTGAGAATTTTTCAACATGGCACTTTTTGCTTTATAGTTTGAATAATTAGAATTTAATGATTATCATTATACTTATTTTAAATTTCCCAATCTCATGATTGTATGTCATTTTTACATCCTGATCACGTGAGAATACAAAGCAAAATCATGTTGAAATTATCTGTGTTTTCAAGAATTACCTCTTTGTTTTCCCTCTTATATTGTTTCTGACAATAAATCTGCTGTTACCCTTAGATTTGTTGTTCTGTACAGAATACCTTTTTCCCATTTGTTGCATGTCTGTTTTACGATTTGAGCAGTTTGATTATACTGTACCAAAGCATACTTTTTCATGTCTTGTGTTTGATATTATTAAATGTTCACTATCTTTGGTCTTTATTCACTATTTAGGGAAAATACCAGTTTTGTTTATTAAAATATCACTCTCCTTTTGGGATTGCTACTTAAATGATGGATAAGCCACCTGCAGTTGTTCCATAGTTCTTATCATCCCATTTTAAATAACTTTATTTTTGTCTTCATATTTTCTAACAATTCTGCAGTGTTCAAGTTGCCATTAATCCCATCTGGCATCTTTTAAAATTTTTCTTTGTTTTAAATTCTTGATACAGGTTTTTACTACATAACACTGCCTGGCCTTGAATTTGAGATTTCCCTGCCTCAGCCTTTCAAGTGCAAGGATTACAACCATGTACCACTATGTCCAATCTGTCCATTGTATTTTTCATCTCAGGCAGGATAATTTTCATTTATAAATGTCTACTTTGGGTTTTTAAGACATTTTTTCTACTTATGCTTTTTTTAATTTATGGGAACTCTCATACTGTATTTATCTCAATCCAAATATGTGTGCCAGTTCTGAATCACTTTCAACTAATTTATTTTTCTTCCTACCTCTTTAATGCCTCCAACTTGTTGACTGCATGTCTAGCATGGGCTATAACTTCTCACTTCAAGGGCTAAATGTTTTTGTATTACTGTAAATATCCCTCAGTTTTATTCTGGAAGAGAGTGAAATTACCTAGGAATGGTTTGATCCTTTATGATCTTGTTTTTGTAATTAATTAAGTAAATCCATAGAATATTTAGTTTAGGAATAACAATATCCAAATAGTAAAGCTTACTACTAATTACTTTCTGGACATTGTCTCATTTCCAATGTCCTATAAATTTGCAGCTTTTATACTCTAGCTAATTGCTAGACCTTGTACTATATCCATTCTTGCATAAGTGCAAGGAATTTTTTTTTTAATTTTTTCAGATAATTCTTTCCCTATTCTCACAAATGTCTTTACAAGCATGTGATGATTAGTGCTCTCTCAAAGGACTACTACTGCATACTACTAGAGGTCATTCCCTTTACAGCCTTCTCCACCAAGAACACAGTAGCCAGTGTGTTTTCCCAGTGTGTCCCCTCTTCACAACTCAGAAAACCTGAAGAACTCGCCCTGAAATTCCCATTCTTTGTGCCAATACACAGAAATTTCCTCATCACAATTAACTGGGGTCATTATAGAGCTCACATTCTTGGTTTCACATATTCAGGGAATAACTTTCGATCTTGGATATTTGATGTTTGCTGTCTTAAAATTTATAGTTCATAAATTTTGCCTGGTTTTTAATTATTTCAGTAGGGGGAGTAATCTGACATATTATTTCATTATTTGAATCTGAAATACCCTATAATTCTTTATCATGATTTTATAACATAATCCACTGAAACACAGCTGATATCTTGCTTAAGGTGACATTATTAAGTCATAAAGTGAGACTATAAACCAAGATTTCTAGATTCTAATGCATTCATTCTTTTTTTTTTTTTTTTTTCTTCTCTGTGTACTGGGGATCAAACTCGTGACCAGACAGGCGATTAGGCCACTGGGCTAAATTCCAGGCCCTCAGTGCACTCATTGTTTTGTTTTGTTTTGTTTTTTGTCTTTTTCCTTTTTATCGGTACCGGGAATCGAACTCACGACTGCCTGCTTGGAAGGCAAGCGCTTATGCCACTGAGCTAAACCTCCAGCCCCTGTGCACTCACTGTTTACCACCACTTTCTACCTTTGATGCAGGTCATATTTTAGTTCCTGCTGCCTCAGGAATGCTCAGTAAATATTGTTTATTTTGACATTATTGATAGTGAGAAAGTTCTTAAATTGAAATAAAAATTTGCATGGAGCCACAAGTTTTTTAAAAGGTCAGATTACTTATACATAGGCAAGAGTATATACTCAAAAGTAATTAAGTACAGACACTAAATAGATGTTATAAATACATAATTTTGAACAACAAAAATGTAGATCTAAATCTTAACAGTGGATTTAGATTACACTTTAACACATACTTGCTCTGGGACACTTTAGGATGAATTACTTGTGATTCCAAAGAATTGGAATCATATGTACAGGCATACAGTGATAGAAACACTCTCCAATGAGAGCTGTCTTGACAGTCACTAAGATGTACCTTATCGGTGCAGAGGAGGGGCTGGGCGGATCTGGGGTGCCTGCATCAGCCTCCCCATGTGTCTGGAGGACCATGGATATCTCAGCAAGCAGGGAGGGATCGCAGGTTCCTGAGGCACCCCAGCCTGTGGTGAGTGCTCAGCGCACTCTGCCCAAATCTCAGATGCTCAGCGCACTCTGCCCAAATCTCAGACTGTTCCGGACCCTCCAGGCTTCCAGGTGCAGTGAAGTGGAGAAGTGGGTTTGAGGCCTCTACATCCGCCTCCCCATCCCAGCTGCACTTGGAGAACTGCTGAGCTTCCAATGAGTGGGCAGGCCCACACTATCCCTGGAGCCCAGCCTGTTTCGGACTGCCGCGCCTAGCCGTCGGTGTGCAGAGGAGGGGCTGGGCGGATCTGGGGTGCCTGCATCAGCCTCCCTGTGTGTCTGGAGGACTGTGGATGTCTTGGCAGGCAGTGGAGCATCGCGGGTTCTGGAGGCCCTGCAGCCTGTGGTGAGTGATCTGTGCACTCTGCCCAGAGCCCAGACTGTTTGGGTCCCTCCAGGCTTCCAGGTGCAGTGAACTGGAGAGGTGTGTTTGAGGTGTCTACATCTGCCTCCACATCCCGGCTGCGATTGGAGAGCTGTGGAGCTTCCAAGGGGGAGGTGGGCGCACAGTGTCCCTGAGGCCCAACTTGTCTGGAACTGCAGAGTTCTGAGCAGGCAGAGGAGGGCCATTGGTTCTGCAGGCCCAGTGGCTTGGGGTAGTGTGGTGCCAGAGTCTCAGTAGCTGCAAACATAGAAGGGGATTTCCAACAGATCCTGAGGAAGCTTTCAAATAACACTTGAAACACAGAAATATAGGAAAATGACAAAATGAAAGACAAAATTACAACCTCAAACCTCCAGCCCATCTCAGGAAACCCTAGGAGCAATGTATATAGAAGAAAATATATGCCATTCACCTCAAATATCGGACACAATACCTACTGAAATTAACAAGCAACTCCAGGAAGCTTTAAAGAAATTCAAACTCGAAATAATCTCCCAGGTAAAAGAAGAAATGATAAAAGAAATGAAAGAGATTCTGAATATATCTAAAGAAAACACAGATAATAAATTGGAGGAACTAAACAAAAAGATAGAATCCCTAGACGAGCAATATAAGAAACAAACAGAATACATAATGCAGATGCACAGAGATATACAGGAAATAAAAAACTCCACTGAAAGTTGTAAAAGCCGCCTTAATGAAAGTGAAGATAGAATTTCAGACCTTGAAGACAGGATTGCAGCTAGTGAACAGGAAAGGAAAGATCTTTTAAAAATAACAAGGAATCAGGAAACAACAATTCAACAACTGCAAGCCGATGCAAAGAAAAATAACATGATAGGGATTAATGAAAATAACAATGATAGGGATTAATGAAAAAGAAGGAGACAACGTAAAGGATGTCAAGAGGCTATTTAGAGAAGTAATAGCTGAAAATTTCCCAAGCATGAGATCAGAAACTGACATCAGGATCAGTGAAGTATATAGAACTCCAAACACTCATAACCAAAATAAAACTACACCCAGACATAAAATAATCACCATCCCAGAAATCCAACACAAGAATAGATTATTAAAAGCTGTCAGAGAGAAAAGACAGATCACTTGTAAAGGAAAACCTATCAGAATCACAGCAGACTTCTCAGCACAAACAATAAAGTCAAGAAGAGCATGGAGTGAAGTATTCCAGATCCTAAAGCAAAATGATTTCCAGCCTAGACTGATATATCCTGAAAAACTGTCATTCAAAATTGATGGTGAAATACGATACTTCCATGACAAAGAACAGCTGAAGAACTTCATGAATACCAAACCAACCCTGCAAAAAATATTGAAAGACAGTTTAGATACACAAAAGAAAAAACCACTAAGCAAAGCAAATAATTAAACAGAACAGAAAGATAAAGATGCAACAGCATAGAGATAACATGCCAACAATAAACCAGCATTTAACAATAATAACCATTAATGTAAATGGTCTCAATGCACCAATCAAAAGAAACAGACTAGCAGAATGGATCAAGAAACAAAATCCAACCATATGCTGTTTACAGGAAACCCGTCTAACCCAGAAGGATACTCACAGACTGAAAGTCAAAGGATGGAAAACAATACTTCATGCAGCAGGAATCCAAAAAAAGGCAGGAGTAGCCATTCTGTTTGCAGACAACGTGAACTTTAAACCAACAATGACCATAAAGGACAAAGAAGGTCACTACATACTCATAAGGGGAAAACTTCAAGAGGAAGAGATAACTATCTTAAATATATACGCACCAAACTCCAGAGCACCCAGTTATATAAAACAACTATTAACAGAAATGAAAACTCAAATTATCAGTAACACAATTGTAACAGGAGACCTTAATACGCCATTGACCCCAAGGGACAGATCAACCAGACAGAAAATGAGCAAAGAAATAACACAACTGAATCACACCTGCGAACAAATGGGTTTGATAGACATATACAGAATGTTCCACCCAACAACATCAGAATACACATTCTTCTCAGCAGTACATGGATCATTCTCTAAAATGGACCATATATTAGCTCACAGAACATACTTAAACCAATGCAAAAGAATTGAAATCATCCCTTGCATGTTATCGGATCATAGCGCTCTGAAATTAGAAATTAATGATAAAAGATACTGCAAAAATCTCTCAAACACATGGAAACTGAATAACACACTCTTGAGTAATCAGTGGGTCACAGAAGAAATTAAAGAAGAAATTAAACAATACCTAAAAGAAAATGAAAATGCAGATACAACTTATCGGAATTTGTGGGATGCAATGAAAGCTGTCCTCAGAGGAAAATTTATTGCACTGAGTTCCCACATCAGGAAAACAGAATGAATACAAATAAATAACTTGATGATACACCTCAAACAGCTAGAAAAAGAAGAGCAAGTCAAGCCCAAAGCCAAAAGAAGAGAGGAAATTATAAAAATCAGAGCAGAAATCAATGCAATAGAGACTAAGAAAACAATCCAAAGAATCAACGAATCAAAGAGTTGGTTCTTTGAAAGAATAAATAAAATTGATAAGCTCCTAGCCAACCTTATTTAAAAAAGGGAAGAAAAAGCTCAAATTCATGCAATAAGAAATGAAAAATGTGAAATCACTACAGACCCAATAGAAATACAGAAGATCATCTACACCTATTTTGAAAACCTCTACTCTCAAAAGTTTGATAACACAGAAGAAATAAACAGATTCTTAGAAACATATGAAGTACCAAAGCTAGATCAAGAGGATGTAAAACTGTTGAATAACCCAATCTCTGTTAATGAAATTGAAAATGTAATTAAGTCCTTACCCACCAAGAAAAGTCCAGGCCCAGATGGATTCACTGCAGAATTCTACAAGAAATACAAAGAAGACCTAATGCCGACACTCCTCAAACTATTCAATGAAATTGAAAGGGAAGCAATCCTTCCTAAGTCATTCCTGGAAGCAAATATTACTCTAGTACCAAAACCTGAGAAAGACCCAACTAAAAAAGACAACTATAGACCGATCTCCCTAATGAACACAGATGCAAAAATCCTCAATAAAATACTGACAAATATGATGCAGCCAATCATCAAGAAGATTATACACCATGACCAAGTGGGATTCATCCCAGGAATGCAAGGATGGTTCAACATACATAAATCAATAAATGTAATCCACCATATCAATAAAGCCAAAAATAAGAATCACATGATCATTTCTATAGATGCAGAAAAAGCCTTCGATAAGGTCCAACATTTATTCATGATAAGAACTTTACAGAAAATTGGAATAGATGGTCTTTACCTCAATATAATAAAGGCCATTTATGACAAACCAACAGCCAGCATTATACTAAATGGCCAAAAATTGAAAGCCTTTATTTAAAATCAGGCACAAGACAAGGATGTCCTTTATCACCACTCCTATTTAATATAGTACTGGAAGTACTAGAGAGAGCAATTAGGCAAGAGAGAGAAATAAAAGGGGTAAAGATAGGAAAAGAAGAAGTTAAATTATCATTGTTTGCAGATGAAATGATACTCTACATAGAAGACCCCCCCCTAAACTCCATTGAAATACTCTTAGATACAATAAATAAATTCAGTAATGTGGCTGGATACAAAATCAATACTCAGAAATCAATAGCATTCCTATAAACGAACAACAAAATCACAGAGAGGGAAATGAGAGAAACTGCACTCTTCACATTAGCAAGCAAAAAAAATGAAATATTTAGGAATTACTCTTACGAAAGAAGTGAAAGACTTATACAGTGAAAAGTATAATACACTGAAAAAAGAAATTGAAGATGATCTCAGAAAATGGAAAGACATCCCTTGCTCATGGATAGGAAGAACAAACATTGTGAAAATGGCCATTCTCCCAAAACTGTTATACAGATTCAATGCAATCCCAATAAAAATACCATCAACATACCTTATAGATCTAGAGAAATCACTCCTAAATTTCATCTGGAACCAGAAGAGACCTAGAATCGCAAAGGCAATTCTAAGCAGCAAAGACAAAGCAGGAGGCTTCACAATCCCTGACTTGAAGTTATACTACAAAGCAACAGTAGTAAAATCAACATGGTATTGGAATCAAAACAGAGCTGAAGATCAATGGAATAGATTAGAAGATACAACCACCACTACAAACACACTCAACCACCTTATCTTTGATAAAGGAGCCAAGCAGGTTCACTGGAAGAACGACAGTCTCTTTAATAAATCTATAAATGGTGCTGGAAAAACTGGCTCTCCATTTGCCAAAAATTAAAGCTAGACCCATGTCTATCACCATGTACTAAATTAAAATCTTAATGGGTCAAAGATCTGAATATTAAAACAGAAACACTAAATCTATTGGAAGACAAATTGGGTAGAAACCTTGAAGACATAGGAGTAGGTAGAGAATTCATGAACAGGACTCAAACCGCACAGGAGATACTTCTCAGAATCTATAACTGGGACGACTTCTTATTAAAAAGTTTCTGCATGTCAAAAGAAATCTCCAGCATAGTGAAAAGAAAACCACAAACTGGGAAAAGATTTTAGTGAACTCTCTCTCAGACAAGGGACTCTTGTCTAAAACATATAAAGAATTTAAAAAAAAACTCAAACCCCCAAAATTCAAAGATCCAATCCAAAAATGGGCATCTGAGATGAATACGCACTTCTCAGATGAAGAAATGCAAATGGCAAATAAATACATGAGAAAATGTTCATCATCATTGGTCATTAGAGAAATGCAAATTAAAACCACACTGAGATACCATCTCACTCCTGAAAGAATGGTCAGGATCAAGAAAACCAACAACAACAAATGCTGGAGAGGCTGTGGGGGAAAAAGGAACTCTCCTGCACTGTTGGTGGGAGTGTAGACTGGTGCAGCCTTTGTGGAGGTCAGTCTGGAGATTTCTCAAAAAGCTGGGATTGGAAGTCCCATTTATTCCAGCTATTCCACTTCTAGGCATATTCCCAGAAGAACTGAAAGCATCATACCATAGTGATATATGTGCACCTATGTTTACAGCAGCACAATTTGTAATCGCCAGATCTTGGAAACAACCCAAGTGTCCATCAACTGAGGAATGGATAAAAAAGTTGTGGTATTTCTATACAATGGAGTATTATTCAGCTATAAAGAAGGATCACATTGAGATATTTATCAATAAATGGGCGCAGCTTGAGACCATACTCATAAGTGAAATAAATTAATCTCACATGTGTGAATACCGAATAGTTTCCCTAATGTAAGTAATGATTCAAATATATAAAAATATGTGGTAATCATGATTCCCCATTATGTGGCCTTGAAGCCTTATAAAGGTTTCACTTATTAATTGGAAAGGCTTTATTCTGGGCTTCTTGATATGAAATATTTGAAGCTATAGTATATGAAGTTTTATTCAAATATTTCAAGGAAAAAGACAGACACTATGGTAACTACTATTAAGTCGGGTTATTTGGTGGTGAAGCACTAGGTTGCTGAAACAGTCATGCTTTGACCTGTATTGTTATATTGTTATGTCCTGTTTTATCTCAATCTCTCCCTTATTCTTTAAAAAAATTATTTAGTTATTTCTTATGTTTGTTTTAATTAAGGGGAAAAATTTAAAAAAATTAGCAGGATATATAATAGTAACTTTTATTTGATTTCCTATTAATTTGTTTTGAAGTCCTGTAATACTCCGACAAGCTTGTTTTGAGACTGATTAGACTCTGTTCCAGTCTGTATGATAGTATCAAATTTGAGGGTATAGGCAACTACTTTGAAGGCAGTAAGATTCACTAAGATGCTCATTCTGATTTGACTATTGTCTCCTTTGGAAGTCCTGTAATGTTTACAATGCTTAAGTTTTATTGGTCTTGTTCTCTTCTGTTTTGTTCAACTTTATAATATCTAACGAGATAGACAATTCTTTTTAAGGAAACAAGAGACATCGTTGATTACCATTGCTGATAACCTTGTACTCTGTTTTACATCATGTGCTATGTCTATCCTTGGTTTTGACTGACAGCTTTGTTTTGCCATATTTGACTTTATTCTCTTTCCCCCAAAAAAGTAATAAGAACTAAGGAGTAATAAAACCCAAAATGTGTAAATTTTGTTGTAAAAAAGAGAGGGAAAAAAAGAGCTCTAAAGGATACAACAGCAAGTGTGTTTAGGGGTGTTAAATAGCTGACTATATTAATGTTTTTGGTTGGATCATTGAACACAACTGTTTGCAGTCTCACTGTTTGAATGTCCACTTTGTATTCTTTGACACTGTGATTTGAGCAACTATTTCTAAGATGATAATATGTAATCTATTAACTGGTGATTTCTTACTTTTTTTTTGTAGTTCTGTATTACTTGTACCCTTACACCACTTTGTTTTGTTTTGTGTTTTTCTCTTTTTCCTTTTAAATACAATTTTAAAAAACAGATGTACCTTATCAATACTGAGTCATAGGAAATGTTATTAACTCACTTTCAGGACATCAAGAAAAGAAAGGCCAGATGATTATGTAAAAATTATTTTAAAACTTAATAATGCATTGTCACATTTCCTTGCATTTGTTTTGATATTCCACTCTCAAAACAAATGCAAGCATATATAACTAGATATATGTATATATTTTCATTATATGTAACTATATATATGTGACTATATTTCAATATATGTGACTAGAAGTATCATTTTAAAATCCCTTCCAACCTTATAATTCTATGTAATTAATTCTCACCATAACTCATGAGTTGTAGCAGCTGCCAGGTAATACTTCCCATTTGGCAGCCCAGAAAGTGATGTTTATTGCAAATCTTGAATTGGGGAAAATACTGAAATAGTTTCACTTTTTATGCCCAATCTGCCTCCATGCTGACAGAGATTAGAATTAATGTGTGTGAAACACCTAATATAGATTCAAGTGCAGAGTAGATGCCTAATAATCAATGCCTCAAGGTTTTTTGTTTTTGTACCAAGGATTGAACTTGAAACTCCACGCTTGCCAGGCAGGCTCTTATGCTGCTGAGATAAATCCCCAGCCCATGACTGAAGTTTTTAAAACACAAATTTGATGGGAACAAGATCATTATGAAAAGATAATAAATTATAACCAGGAAAAGGAAAAGAAAGTATAAGAGCTAAGAATGTAGCACAGGAATTCGAACAATTGTGCCTTTGCTGAGAAAGAATAATTGGACAGAAAGTGTAGATGACATAATGAAGAACATAAGCAACTATTTTTCTCTGATCAGGGTCAAGCTGATAACTTATCCAATGGTCCTAAAGGTTATGAGGTTTCCAAAAAGTGTGGTTAACCACCATCTCATTTAAAGTGTCTACAGATGGTCTTTATTTGCAACAGGATTTTAGACTACTAAATCAAGAGGTGAAATGCAAAACTGAAGGTTTCAAAGAACTGGGGAAGATAAGGTCAAAAAGTAACTGTATTTAGAGATTAGTATCACAGGAGAAATGATAATTCAGGCTTGGGAGAAAGCCACTAGGGTCAGCTGGAATCACCAAAGATGGAGAAAGATTATAGTAGAGACTCTAGTTGACCCCAGTGGCTTTCCAATTTATTTACTAAGCTTCCAATCAAAAAAAAATTTTCTACCTACTTAATATCATTGAAACAAGAATAGAGTACATAAAATGCTACCCATTTTTAGTGAAACAGTCACATTCATTTTCAGACAATCTTTTGTTATAAACATACATTCTTTACTGTGTTTTCTTTTTGAAATAAACCACACTCAAATATATCACCAACTCCCATAAAATTTCTCAACTGAGGTTTACTATTTCATTTTGCAATCAATCAGTATTTTCATTTTCAAACCCATTGTGCTATGTCCGTCACATCTGTAGCCCTTCCTTGTTTTTTCTTCACCTTTCAGACAATCCTAATATAAATGTTACAAGTTGCTGCTATTTGCAGCTCCTCGGAGACACAGGTTCTTAACTATTATAAATATTTCATCACAAGCCATAGAAATGTTCATTTTGGAAAGAATTGAGCATCCACTCGTGAAAGGTATTTCAGAAGTTGCAAAAATTATTCTGGAGAAATTACATTTTGCTCCTCCTTCTTATCATTTAATAGCATGCTTTGAAGCGCATCCATCCTCTCGGGAGATATGCTCTCTGTCCAATGGTGTCACTGCTATGAAAGGTCCCCCACTGACCTATTCCATCAGACTCACAGCCATCCTTTCTCTAGACCCAGTTTTTTAATCATATATGTGCTTAGTGTTGAATGGAAAAATAAATGGTATCCAGGGTTGAATGACTTAGCAAACAAATGATGCGTGGAAATTGCATAGCCATGCACTCCCTTGAATTGTCTCACAAAATTGGTTTAATGAGAGGAAGACAACAATTGACTTTTTCCAATTGTCATTTCTCTAATTCAACATTCAGTTGCTGAGTGTCAAAGAGAGCTCAACAAGTCCTTCGGGGGTCAATTAAACAGCATGACTAGAGTTCTAGTGATCAAATTTTCCTTTTAAAGGGAATTTTGATATTTCTTTGGTGTGCCTCTTTCCATTCCAAAATGTTAGGCCAGCAAACACCATCTCTCTTTTGCTCCAAAAATACAAACTGAAATGTAATTACACACACACACACACACACACACACACATTTTTCCGACACTTGAGGACTTTAAAAAACTTTTTTATTTACATGAAAAGGAATGAAACATTCTAAAATCAAGGCATTTGGGAGTCAAGAGGCAGACATTTGACTCTCACATCTCCCCTACCCACCTGTGTGGTATTAGCCCAATTATCATAGTCTCTGATTCATTTTCTATCAAATGAGAATAATATATTAGCTATTTTTATAGAGCTATAACAAAATTTAAATGGATCAACATATGTAAAATGTTTGATAATAAGTATCAGTTCTTCCTGTTTTTGTGATAAATTCCATATTGTGTGTTTGAATTGTATTAACTGTGAAAGGTAGGAAAGTCAGGATTTATCTGCCAGGAGTTTTGGTTTGTAGTAATAGGTAAATCAATTTTTTATTACAAGGAGTCTTGATTTCTCTGAATAGAATTTTTTTTGCAAGGAATTTTCAAAATTTGCTTTAGTATTTTTCAACTCATTCCAGCTCTGAAGACAAGTAAGGTCTGCCATGGGACACACAGAAAAAGTAGAGGAATATTTGATGGTTTCAGCCTACCACATTCCTTGTCCCTGGAAGCCTGTCCTAGTGAAATGCTCTGATGCATTTCTATTTCTGCTTTATGCATGTCAAAAACTACAACTTACCTGTGAGTTGTATCCCCAAGATTTTAAACTCCAAGCGTCCAAAACAATAAACAAACTTGTGCAACTTCGAAATATAGCTATATTTCATAATTGATATGTATATACCTTTATACTAATGGAGCCCACACATTTTGAAACATGACATAAAATGAAAATAGAACTTACTCCAGAAGAACATGGCAGATAGATAGCAGCAGCTACGGAGGTTCTCTGAGATACCCCGCTTAAAATCCAGGAATGGTGTGGTACGAGGAGTCCTAAGCAAGGGAAGATACACCCTGCAGACCCAGGAACGAACTAAGCTAAGAGAAGCCAACTGGAAATCCAATCCCGGTGCTACAACAGGAACAGATAAAATCTCAGTGCAGAAGCTAGAACCCATGCCACTGGAAGCCACGATTAGAACTTCCTGCTGCCACTGCTGCGTCCAAATCTGCCGGGCAAGGAGAGAGATGTGTGAAAGCTCTGAGAGCAGGAATCTGTGAACGGAGTTGAGAGTGGGACTGGCCAGGAGCCCTGCATCGACCTGAGGTGACTGAGCCAATCGGGAACCCTTCCATAGAGTAGGAGGCTTCAGTAAAGGACATATTGGGACCAGGCAGACTAGCTGGAACAGGATGCTGCAGTGTCCTTAGTCTCATATTCCTCTCTCAAATGGGATTGGTGGGGAGTGCCTGACCTGTGTGTCGCTGCTGACTTAAGACCCAATAGGCTAGCCCAAACCAGGTCCCAGCACCTGGAGGTGCATCCTACCGGTGAAGCCTTTGGTAGGTTAAGCTGGAGGGGTGGGCCAAGCACAGGCTGCCCAAGTCTGTGTCTCCCTAGTACACTAAAGTGCACGGGAACACCTCGCTGGCACAATTCAAAAAAAAACTGTAACCAACAAAGAAAGAAACTGTGCCTCCTATATATGCTTGTATGGAAGGAACAAAAAAATACAGGAAGAGGGAACAACAAGAAAGTGTTCTCGGCCCCCAATCCTGAGAAACATGCAATATCAGACACAGTACCAATAGACATAAAGCGAAATCTCCAGAGCCTCATAGACAAGTTCAAAAATGAAGTTATTAATGACCTAAAGCAAGATATAAGTGGAATAGTTAGATAAATGCTAAGCACCGCCCAAGAAAAAAACAGATGTTGGAATGGAAGAACAGAAAAAAAGGGGAGAATTGTTTGATGGAGAAAACGGAGAAAACATAGAATACATGAAGCAGGTTCAAAGAGATTACCAGGAAACTAAAAACTCTATTGAAAGTTGGCATAACAGCTTGAAAGAAACTAAGGATAGATTATCTGAACTGGAGGGCAGATTTGCAATTTGGGAGCATGAAATGAAAAACTTCTTAAAAATAACAAGAAAACAAGCAGCAATAATACAAAGGCTAAAAGATGATAAGAGGATCTATAACTTAAGCATTAAGAACATAAAAGAAGAAGTAGGGAAACAAACAAATGGACTACAAAAGCTAATCACAGAAATTATCCAAGAGAATTTCCCTAATTTAGCAAAAGGTAAAGATACTCAGATGTATGAGGCATACAGCCACCTATAACCCAAACAGAGCTATATCCAGGCATATAATAATCAAAATTCCAGAAATCAATATAAGAACAGAATACTAAAATCAGTCAGAGACAGAAAACAGATCACTTACAAGGGATCAGCCATCAGAATTACAGCAGACTTCTCGGCACAAACCATCAAATCATGAAGACCATGGGGGGAAATAATTCAAGCTTTGAAAGATAACAACCTCCAGCCAAGATTGATATATCCTGCACAACTGTCCCTAGAAATTGATGGAAAAACAAGGTGCTTCCAGGATAAAGAGGAACTAGGGGAATTTGCAACCACCAATTCAACTCTACAGAGAATACTGCAGGATAGTTTAAAAAAGGAAAACACCAAGACTTCAGAAAAAGTGGCAGAGAGGCCGCAATGAATGGGGCAGAAAGTGAAATGAAGAAGACAAACTGAACAAATGACAGAAAATGAGCTCAACAGAAATGAGGCAGAGAAGATTGGATATTAGGAACAGCTATTTTGGAGAAAACAAGATATCACAATAGCTAGTGCTGATTTAGTATCATCTTGCTTTGAAGTCCCATCAAGCTTTTATTCTTCTGTCTCCATCGGTCTTAACAGGTTGTATCTTACTGTATTTTATTATATGTGATAATATAAACAAAAACTTTTATAGACAAGGAGATTATACAGAAACTATTGTTCATTTTCTGATAGTTGGTTCTAAATATCCTGTAATACTGTCATTCCCTTGAATGGTTTTACATTGTCTTGATATGTTTGGTGCTACAGTATACGAAGTTATACTCAAAGATTTCAAGGAAAGAGACACTATGATTACTACTTTTATGTCAGGATAGCTTGTGGTGAAACACTGTTTTGCTTAAATGGTTGTGCTTTGACCTGCGCTGTTTTGTTGTTATGCCCTCTTTTATCTGTCTCCTTTTTAAAAATTATTTACTTTTTTATTTTTATCTTTTTAATTAAGGGAAAAATAAAAAAATAGCAGGATACATTATAGTAACCCACTTTGATTTCCTATTAACTTTATTTGAAACCCTGTATAGCCCTCACCATCTTGCTTTAACTGATTTTCCTCTATTCTGCTTTGTTTGATAGTACCAAGTTCGAAAGTATAGACAACAACTGTAAAGACAATAAGATTCATTATGATGCCCATTCCGGTTGACTATTATCTTCTTTTAAAGTCCTGTAATGTCTCCAATGCTTTGATTTTATTCTTTACTGTTTTGTTCAATTTTATTATAAGTGATGATATAGGCAATTCTTTTTAAGATAGCAAGAGGCAGTATGGTAACTATTGTTGATCACCTAGTATTTTGTTTTTACATTATTTATTATGTCCATCCTTTTAATTTGACTGACTCTGTTCTGTTATGTCACATTTGGTTTTACTCTCTTCAAAAAAAAGTAATAAGAACTGTGGGAGTAATAAAACCCAAAATGTGTAATTGTCATTGTACAAAAGAAAGGAAAAGAAAGTGCTCTAAAGCATATAACTGCACATATATTTAAGTGTATAAGATAGATAACCATACTACCAAGTTTTGTTGGACCATTGAACAAAACTGTTTCCAGTCTCACTGTTTGAAAGTCCACTTTATATTCTTTAATTTTGTAACTTAAACAACTATTTCTAAGATAACAATTTGTAATCTATTAACTAGTGATTTCCTACTGTTTATTTTTTCTGAAATTCTTATACCTTGTACCCTTTTTCTGTTTTTCTTTCTTTTTCTCCTTAAATAAAAAAAAAGTAAAAAAAAAAAAGAAAATAGAACTTATAATATTTTCCAGAGATGTTACAGTATGCTATCTTGAACATTCCCTGGTGTGCATTCTGTATAAGATAGGATGTTCTTCCTGTTGAAACTTGTGTGACAGTGAGTGAGGCCAAGTAGTCCATGAGAGACTAGCATTGCTTTGTTATAAGCTGCTGTAGCTTTGTTCTAAGACTATAAATTGGCCATACAAGTGGTGTGGCATATTCTTTAATTCTCATTTTATAGATGGCCAAATCAGGCTTCTTTATTTTGCTTTGCCAACAAGAACTGGAGCAGAGCAGACTCTTGGTGTGGTTCCAGTCAACTCTTTTGCTAACTTTATACCATTGTAACAAAACATTGCATTGTGTCCTTTGAGATTACGAGATTGGATTGAATTCCAATAGGGAGTCCTGTGCAAAGTTTCATGTCCTCTCTAAGATTTATATCCCCATGGTTACCTCTCCCTCCACTTTCTTACTCTAGTGAACTTTTCTCTCTTGTTTGTGTCTTGCTACCCTGTGGAGCTTCTCTCCTCATACCCTGTACCCACTCAAGGAAGGAATATGGGGTACCAGTGTAGAAGATGGTTATAACAGCAGGAGGAGGGTTGTTGCACTACAACACAGAAGAGCAAATATCTACAAATAAATATTTCTTGTTCTGTGCTTTTTGTACTTGAAAATCCACCAGTATTTATCTGTCTTAGTGATAAATTACCTCTTAAGATTTCATTGGCCTTTCATTATGGTGTTATATCAATCTGTCTCTAGGTTATCTGTCAATCACTCATTATCTTAGGCAAATTTTTTTTTTTTTGCTTTGTTTTGTTTTTGGTCTTTTTTTTTTGTCTTTTTCCTTTTTATTGGTACCAGGGATCGAACTCACGACTGCCTGCTTGCAAGGCAGGCACTTATGCCGCTGAGCTAAATCCCCAGCCCCGGCAAATTATTTTGAAGAGTTTAATCTCAGGACCAGAGATGAGTAACAGTATTAAGAACTGTGACTTTATTCACAAAACTAATATATAATTATCAGTTATGAAATGGGACACAAATCATTAATTTCTAACAAACTGTGCCTATTATTGTTACTATTTGAGAATAGTTGCATGGTTACTCCCACAAATGTCATTTTTACTTCTTTGATTTGTCATATGACAACTCAAGGTAGGAAATAAAACAGTAGAGTTGCAACAAGAATGTTAAGAATTATGCACAAAATTATGTATTGTTGAGAGTGTATCTCATGTGTGAAATCAAGTATCATGAAAGATTTAGCAGGGATGTGTTGAATATCATTTATTTATTTACTTACTGGGGTACCAGGAATCAAACTCCTGACCTTGTGATTGACAGGCAGGCACTTATGCACTGAGCTACATCTCAGCCAAATCTCACATCTTTAGACCAGTGATTCACCCACACAAGTTCGTAATCAAGGAGTAAGTAAGATAACTCAATGAGGCCAGAAGAGAATGTTACAACTTACATTGAAAATTACTTCTATAATGCATCTAAGGCTATCTTTTGTGTATATGTAAAGCCCTCACACAAATATTTTGAAATACACTCCCAAATTTCAGGGCACTTCTCTCATGAAGTAGTAAGTTTCAAGGTAGAACACTTGCTTAGAATGAAAGAGGCCCTAAGTTTGATCTTATTTTAAAAGCAAATAAAACCAACCATAAAACAAAAAACTATGTCCCTTCCTTTAAATTTAATTTATTGCATCAATAGAGCCTGGCAGCAGGAAAAGTAGGCAAATGCCAAGGCTACATTATAAAAGGACATGTAGTCTTCTCTCATTTGCTGAAAAATGGCTCTTGCAACCTTGAGTGGTCATATGCTCCCTCCAACCATCCTGAAATCATGTTATGTAGCAGTTCAGCCTATGAAGAAAGACCTCATGTAGGTACTCTCCTGGATCAAAAGACCCAGGACAGCCTGAGGAAGGAAGCCTTTAACTGAGTCCAAATATTTGCATTCTGAGTCATTCCCAGCTATGTGAGACTTCCCAGTGAAGCTTCAGGTGTTATGGAACAAAGGTAAACCATCCCTTACCCAAATTTCGGACCCTTAAAGAACATCAACATAAGATAATGCCTGTTTTAAATTTCTA